CTTGCACCTGGGGGACAGGATTTAGCACAGATTGGGAATAAATGGTTGTTGGAACCTCTTGTTGAAATACTGGCAGCACCTCAGTTGAGAAAATAATAAAAGCTTTAAAAAACACACTCAGTTATCAAGACCCAGATTGAACATCTGATTTACAGAGGTCTACTAAGGCTATGTCTTTCATGGGTGCTCTTTGACTCCTGCTTTGACAGCAGGACTCAAGATCGCTGCTCTCAGGGCTTGGGCTCTTTCTATTTCTAGGAGGTTGGTTTCAATTTCTGCTTATCTCTTTTCTTTCAACTCCTGTTTCTTAGCCTGCACAACCTTAAACCTACCTCCCATCCCCTTTCTGACAATTGCCTGTTTTTAGCTAACATTATTTTTTCACTTATGATTACTTAGAGCTTATATAATACCGTAGGAGGTCTATACCACATGCATTGTAAGACAAGGTTGTTGCCCTGAGTTCAGATACCATGGTGATAGGTGCTTTATAAATACATAAGTTAGAGAGCAAGCTAGATCTAAATTGCACAGGCACAATGCAAACAAAGGATGAAGCACCAGGATGCTGTGCTGTGATGGAAGGCTGTGCTGCCAGGGTACTCTTGCGGCTGCCAAGTCACTTCTTCTCCAAGCATAAATTGGCTGCAGGCCACCCTCATTTCTCCAGAGCTGTCTTTCTACTTCAAGCTGACCTCAAAGTAACACCTGCATCTTTTATATTTGGGCAGTGCATTGAAAAACTAAAGTACTGTGCATTATTAATTAACTTATAGGCCATCCAATCATGGGGCCTTACATTATTTGTTAAATTAAAGTTAAAAAAGGAGAGAAAACACATCAGTATTTGGGAGGACTTTTCTGATGAAAAAGTTAGTTTCTTTTTAAGCTAAAATGCTTGGGTTTTGGGGCAGAGCTTTATGTAAACGTTGCAATCTTTACACTTAAATTGTTCCTTCCCCCCAAAAGTACTGAAAACATTATAATCCATTTATTACCCAAGTGCAGTGGCATTTATGATTACTTTTCTGTACCTTTGGATTACTTTGTGCAGCTAAATAGACCCGCATTTCTAAATCTTATTACAGACTTCAGTGGGTGGGTTGTGGTCTGATACTGGTATCTGTTTGAAGATAATTTTGCCATTATGCTAGTAGACACACAATTGCAGAGGTGCAGCAAGCTTGTGCAGCACTCTGGGCAGAGGTGGGGGGTGGAGTGATGCTGCTCACTGGGGAATGGGGCATCCAGGGCACAGGGAAGCAGGAGTTGTACCTGCCCTGGCTCTCTGGTGGTAGCTTGCACTTGGGCTACTGCTGCTGGGGAACAAGATCACCACACACCGGCCCCATGGTGTGGATTCTCCAGGGGCTACACCTGGTGCCCTGCTTCCCACCCCCATCCAGATATGTTACTGGGTGTGGGGCTGTGCATGTCTTGCTCCTATGGCTGGGCGATAGAGGGCTGCGCCTGTTGTGGCAAAAACTCCCAGGGGGAGGGCACCAGACTGGCACCTGCTTTAAGGTGGTGCTTGGGCTGGTGCCTTGCTCACTCCCACAAATTATGCTACTGGGCAGCTGAAAAAATAAATTGATTGGGTGATGGGTTTTGGCAGAGCGCCCAGCAAGGGTAACAATCAGCTACACTCAGGAAAGCCTTGAAAACTGTGCAGTTATTTTTTTTCAAACTGGATCTTAATTTTGCAGGAATTAATTAATTTTTTCCCCCATAATTAATCCCAAGCAGTAATTTATGGTGATCAAAATGATAGTCAGACTTTAGGCACTTACATCCAAACTTGCAGTCTCCAAATCCCCTCCCTGTAGTATAACTAGGGGGTGGGGGTGGGGGGTGTGGAGAGGGGCTCCGGCTCTAGGCATCAACTTAGAGGGGGTGCTGGAATGATGCCCCTCATCCCCAGAGTCTTTGCCCCATCTGGACCATGAGAGCCATGCTGGAGAAGCACTGCATTACCCAAATGTAGGAGCTGTGCGCCAGGACACAGCAGGAACAGCCCTACTCTGCCCAGGTGTAGAAGCTGAACTGAAGCAACCCCATATTGCCTGTCCAAAGGAACTGGGTGCAGGTATACGGCAGAAGCAGCATGGGTCTTTGAGTCCCTGGGAACAGAGGTAGGTGCAGGGCAGCTCTTGCTGTATGCTGGCACCCCACTCATACAGAAGGTAGGTCTTCACCAGCTGGGATCCTATGGCTAGGAAGGCATAGGGCTAGTCCACAGGAGCACTCTCCCAACCTCACCCTTGGATCTTTGCCAGGGTGTCAAAATTTATAGTTAGGTATCTGTATGTATAGGGCATCGCTAAGTATGTCCTAACCACAAAAGTACAGTTAGCATCCTTCTTGCTTTCTCTCTTTCTGGCTCCCTGCACCTTGCAATTTGTTTGTACAAAACAACATAGCACAGGTGGAGAGTGCCCCGTTCAGCTTAGCCCTTACTTGCTTATGGCTTTTTACTCGAAGGGAAAGAAGTGGATTTGAATTCCTTTGGCCTGAGAAGAACTTATAGTCCTGTCTCATAAGAACCCTGAATCTGGATGACCACTCTAATCCCTATCAAAGGCAGGCATTGTTGATGTATTTAAATTTGTGATGCTGTGCTAAAGAAGGATATTGAATGTTTCCTGGACCCAAAAATAGTCAACAAGCAGGTGCTTGATAAGAGTAAAAATAAATCCTGCATTGATTTCTAAAGGTAGAAAAGAAATAATTGAAGTACTATGGGCACATTTTAAGAACAGAGGAGTAAGCCTAGAAAGGGTAGAACAGAAGATTGTGTGCCAGGCAGGAGAAAGAAGGATCAACCAAAGGAGGCTGGAATGGATTACATACATGTACAACGGCAAGGCTGACAACAGACAGAGAATTTGTCCACTATGTTGCTAAACCTCCTAGTGAGGATGGCATTTGCCTGCTTGATTCACTGACCACTCTTTATTTTTCCAAATAATACCTGTACGCATCTAATCAAAGGAATAAAAACTAGAGGTGATTCCCTTTCAGTCCAGTCAGGTACCTAAACTCCAGAGCAGACAGGAATTTAAATGCATTTCTGTGCTTAGCTTTTTCTAGCTCTAAGTAGGACGTGTTCAGTTTTTGGATCATTTTCTGTGGCAGCTAATATTCCCCCTTCAATATATAGGAAGCCTAGCCACCTACCTTTGGGCTTTGGATTCCACACCAGGAACTGGGTGCCTAAAAGTTAGGTTTCGGTGCACTGAACAAAGGTGCTCATCTTTCTTTCCATCTGGCTCTAAGCCTTTGTTTTTGTTGTATTCGTATTATCACAGTTTGGAATGCGGCTCTCAGAAACTGTCTCTTCATGTGATCCCAGCGTGGAAGTTGAAATTGGCTGTTATTGTTTTCTTGAATGAAACATCTGTATTATGTTGCTTTTTGCCAAATTATTTTTATTAGCAGAGTGATTAGTTGTCAGCTGGCTGAGTCGTGGTTAAGGCTGGCAATATATATATTGATAGTGTTTATTTTTGGTCATTCTGCCATTTAGAAGAATCGTGATATCAATTATTAAAATATACCATTTATTTACTAAACTTTACCAGAAGGAACACCAAGTTGGCAACATGATTTTTGCCTGCCACTGATTCTTTCTATGATGTGACAAGAGCTGAAATTTCAGACGGGGTATTGCACAGTGTTGTTCAAACGTTTTAACAAACTAGGCTATTTTTCCAAAACTGAAACCCTTACATTAGCTAGGACTCTTATTATCAAAAATTGTTACCAAAATTATTAGTACAATTCCAACTGCACATAACATTTTCAACCTTTTTTTTCTTTTTTTGCATAAATTCTATCCTTTGTAAGTGACAAATCTCTTGTACTTATAAATATTTGACAGCACACTGTCATGCACGGGCTCTCCATTTTACCCCTAAAAAATACTTAGGAAAGTAGATACTTGAACAGATTTGAGGTTTCTGTTGCAGGGCTAGTTAGGAATGAAAATCTGTGGGGGCCCTAACTTATAGTAGATGAGCAATACCTAAAAGTCTGACATCAAAGCAAATCATGTATATAGCAATAATTTTAACCCTCAGGCCTCCAAATAAATTAAACATTATCTCTGAATATTGGTATTTACACACACTTAGATTTGGGTGGAACTGGGTGCTAATTGGATAGGCCACTTGTAATTGTAACAACAGGAACAGACTTGTCTCACAACAGAAAGATGGGCACCTTTGTATAGTGCACCAAAAGCTATGGAGGCTGATAGACAAGAAAGACAAGCGGAAAGAGCTGTAACACAAATTCAACGGGATCTACTCCTTCCTTATCAAACTATTTGCCCATGTCTGCAACTGAACATGTGGATTTGGATTGGCCTCTTTAGTCATATGGACTCACTGATGACTTCCCTATTTACTGAAAGACTGTAATTCTCATACTGAGGGACTGCAATGATGATGAACCTGTTGGCTAATGTAGACTTTGTAATGGTGGCTACTTGAGGACTACAGTCACCCATTTAAAATAATGGTCTCTTTGAGTGCACAGACCCTACCAATATATACAGTATATTTTAAAGAAGACTCATGGCGATGTTTTGATCTACATTTTATGTCCATTGGTAATATTGGACCCTCTTCTTCATAAAGATGTATGTTTGTGTCCAACAGAAGAGCACTTCAGGTATTATACCTAGCCATTGTATCATGTCTTTTATTACTTCTGTAAGTCATGAGAAATGATGGAATATGTATCTTTCATAATATTTATTGATCTTTCTGGGAATGAGTTAAACTTTTATTGATTCCTCTCATGTTCTGTACAAAAGATGAAGCAGGGTACATCCTCTTGATCTGCAATTCCTACAATGACATGAAAAGCTCTCACAATTACATTAATTTCCTTCAGCAGTAATTCAGAAATATCTATTTATTTTTACAGTTAATCAATTAAGAGAAAATTACTGCATTGAATTTAAGTTGTTTTTCAGGTGTTAACTTCATTGTTACCTTCCAAGTTCTCTCTTTTGTTCTACATAATTTCAAAACGGCTTGTTTTCGGATTTTCCACAGTAGGAATCAATCAATCTGTCTATTTAGCTGTTAGTCCTATGAAGAGGTCAAGCTGGTAAACTTTACTTTTCTGTGACTGCAAAACATAGTACATTCATTGTTTAACTGAGATCAAGAACTAGAATGGTAGGGCAATCTTCAGGCTTAGTACAATACTGAGATTAAATAAGGATTATGTAATTTCCCCACTGAACCTGAACAAAAGCTTTCTTTCCTTGAAATGTAACTGTCAGTTAATGCATTAAATGTCAGCTGTTCATTAACTAGATCGTGCCATTCTGTTTTCCTAGCAGAACATTTGATTACCTCCAAATTATATTTGCTATTAATTCGAAAATCATGCCTGGTTGGCTGCCTTTATCACTGCATTATGTAAGCTTTATAATTACCCTCAATAGCAAAGGAGGCCTGACCTTCAGATCTGCCCCAGTAGCTCGGTGGGTACTTAGTTTCCTCCATTGTTCTGTCTATTACATTGTTCACTTGGATATGTTTTCATTCTTCCAGACTTTTTTTTTAACATAATTGATTAAAGTACCTTCTATATAAATTGAATTTCCCATGTGGAGGTTTTAAAGCCTCTGGAACCTGATAAGCTTTTGTAACAGAAGAAGAAATGTTTCATGCAGCTTGAAATCCTTCTCACATAAAGCAGCATTTCATCAGGTACTGTCTGCTCTGCTGAGCTCTCCTGGCACAATGACATCTGAATCCCAAAGTCTAGCTCTAACTAGCTTTTTTGTCCTTGCCTTAGGGTATGGGATTCAGAAACAAGTTGTTGTGTTGTCCAGGAATTAGAAGTATTGGTGAATGGGCGCATAAAAGAACATAATTGTTCCTTCTTAGTGGAAAGAGTTTTACGTACATGCTTGAGGAATACGTTCTTTTGTAATCGCACATATATCCGATGGGTATATGTATGATTTTAGTAAACCCTGGTCTTTTAGAAAACCTTGGTATTTTATGAAACCAGGATTAAGTACAAACTATTAGGATTTAATTTTTAAATAAGAAAAGGGCATTAAACTGCTGTTTAAATGAATTAAAAATCATGCTCGCAGCAAACTTTTTGCTGAACGTTAAAATTCTGTCAAATTTTACCTGCTCACCAGCTTCAGTGTGGTTACCAGTGACATTCGGCTACCAGTAAGATGAAGGCAAATGGATATGGGAAAACATTATTTTTCACACTTGTCACTTTAAAATATGTTCACTCCTGCTGCTGCTCTGCGGCACTGAAGTGGAAGTTGGGTGCTGTATATTTTAAAATACTGGCAAGAAGCTGTAACTAAGTTCTTGCTAGGCTTGTGAACCTGTTGCCTTGTTCTTTTCTAAAATAAATATGCCTTCCCAAGAGAGAGACTCCTTTAAAAACCCAACGCTGTGGCAAAAGTAGTCCTTGTTTTTTTTGTCTTTTTCCTTTTAAAATTCTTTGGCAATTAAAGAACATCAGTGTAAAATGTTCAATCATTGGAATATTTTAAATTTCACAGGTTTTTTTTTCCTTTCTAAACACTAGCTCTTATTTTATGGAGAGAAGATGCATGGATTAAGTGATTTCCTAAAAGCGTGTTTGCAATTTTAGATCTCTAAGGGAAGAAGAGTAATACAACGCCTTGTGATTATTTTAGTGCGAAGTTTCAGGTATCAGACTAATGGGTGAACTGTGGAACTAAAAGCATTGCACTTGTTATCAGGCTGACTAGTTGCTTTCAGGTCATGGCTTGACATGGAAAATTAAAACTTGTAAATTAACTTAAACCTATGATACTACTCTCTCATGCCTAACAAGCTAAAGAGTGTTGGATCAGACCTGTACTTGGATGGGAGAGCTGTAAGCAAAACTTAGGCTCTGGAGGAAATGCTGTCAGTCATTCAGTAGGTGGCACTCTTCTATCTCAGCTGATATGGTCCAGTAAAACCTGATTATGGTGTAAAAGAAGCGTGGTGGTTGGAACCATCGTTTGGATAATTCTAATGCTTTTCACTTTCCTGGCATAGATCAGTTTTTGACTAAGGTAAACACACATTTTTATCCCTATTTGTGGATTGTAAAAGTGACTTACAGAGGGTATGGACAAGCACGTGTCTGGAGCAGTTTCAAAAAGTGGGGGACTCTTGCTCCAAAGAGCTCAACAGGTGTTATGTTCTAACAGTTAGCGTGTGCACAGGCTGGGAAGCATACAAATGCAGCAAAAAACTCCCAAGTTCAATACTGGTTTATCAGCAGCAACTCTTTTGAAACAGTTTCCCTTTTGAAACAACCCCACCTATACATTTGTTCTCGCCCAAAGAGAAATTAGGGACAAGGTTCTGATCCTCTGACTCAAGCTCTGTAACAATTTATTCTGCAAGTAGTCACTTGGACTTGCTGTTGAAATGAGATCCTGTTCAGTGTGATTTGACGATATCACTATCTAAGTAAGTATGGCTAGTTACAGACATTCAAAAAGCCTAAAGTGGCATCCATCTAAGTGAGGTGGTTTTCTGTGAGCGGCGCAGTTTACAGTGGCAGTAAAGGCATTCGCTCTTTGCTGGGGTGGGCAGGTCTAATCTTAGACTAGGTTCCACCATTTTTAAACCAGTCTATGTGCACTGAAATCCTGTTCTGTTATGGGTATAGACCAGATTTGTGTGCTGAACTTCTGCTGTTATGGGTATAGACTGGTTTTCTTCACCAAACTTTTGTTGTCTTATGGATATACAGACCTGGCCTTAGGGAAAATGGCGCCCTGGATAAACTTGCATATCTGGTCCCCTTCCCCCCACCCCCTGCTGCCCACCCCAAGTCAGTGGTGCTGTTGCAGGCAGAGGCAGGTGGGCAAGGGAGTGAGGAGAGGTCCAGCAGAGAGGCAGAGCAGCATTGTCCACCAGGCAGGTGGGCAGGGCAGAGGCTGGGCTGGGATCAGCCCTATCTGTGGCAGGGATCAGATGAGGTGCGACAGGGGGAGAGTGCTGCCATGAGTGCGGGATGCTCACACACGTACGTGTGTGTGTGTGTGTGTGTGTGTGTGGCATTCCCCCCTCCCCCCCGATCATGTTGCCTTGAGCGGTTGCCCGCATTGCCCACCCCTAAGGCTGGCTCTGCGGGTAAAGACGGTTTCTGATCACTTATACTGGTAAAAGTAAAATGTTTGTACCCGGCCTAACTGAACAAATCACATGCAGAGCCAAGAATAATATGTAGTCTTGACTGCAGTTCCATGCCTTTTTTCACCAGCATGTTTTTACTTGCAGTCAGTAAAGTTTCCATTTATTGAGCTATTTTCTCCTAAAGATTCCAATTTTTGCTGGGAAATAAGAGTCTTAGCCTCTACCTTTAAATCCTATAAAGGAGGGTTTTTTTGGTTTTGTTTTATTTTTTTAAGCATGTGATAGAAATTGTGTGAAATCATCTAATCCACTGAGGTTTTTCATTCTGCACTCAAGTACGTGACAGCTTTGTATGAGATTTTTATAAAATCTGAAAGGATGAGTATGATATCATGCGTACTGTGGACGTGCCTAAAAAAACAAGTAATATAGAAAAACATGTATAAACAAAAAACAGTGTAGTCTAAAGAGATGAGAAATTTTAATTGCATTTGACCTTGGCCATTCATTCCAAATACTGTCTGCAACACAAATTGGTATAGAAAGCCCACTCCTTTTGTGCCTTTATGTGTTTATTGGGTAATGCTTTTACTTTTTATATATTTTTAATAGTATTGCCTCTGTTCAGTTGGAATTCATTGCTTTTAGCCATTACTGGAAGCCTCCTGCACAGGCATACCTTATTAAAAAAATGGAATCAGTTAAAACATCATACAGAACATTTCACAGTTTTAAAAGTATAGTTGAATCTTGGTAGTCTTAATAAGAAAGGGGTTATGGATAGCACTGAATTATTTTGGTTCAGTTTTGCAGCCTAATGCACCTGTATAACTTTAACTGAATGTATTGGCAATTGTGTCTCTGGTATCCTATCATTAACACTCATAACCTCCGTAACTTTAGATTAAATTTCTACTGAAGTGAAATATTGATGAGACGAAACCAAGAAAATAGTTTCTATGTTTTCTTCTCTGATTAAAAGTCAATAGGAGCTTTTTTGGAGAACAGATCCTTTTACTTAGATGCCTAAATTTATGTGTAGAGAAGGCTAATCTTATTAACCCATTAAAAAAGCAAACAACTCACCCCCCAAAATAGCTCCTCCAAGCAAACACACAAACGGGTAACCCCCTCCACTATCTAAAAAGAGCATGATCTAAAGAAAACGAATCTAAAGAAAGCATGGTTCTTTTTTGTGAGCCAAGTGTCAAAGATCATATTCAGTATAAATGAGGCAAAATGGACATAACTGAGGAATGAGGAAAGATTGGGGAGAAAGCAGAAAAGGGAATAAGTAAAAGGGACCATGAAGTTTTGTGGCATATTGTCTTCTCATTCTCCTTGCAAGGGGAAGGAACGATGAGTTAAGTTTGTAGAATATTATAATCAGGATTGTCACAGTAGTGAAGTGAAAAAAGAAGAATTTTCAAATTGATGCTCGATGTTGTCTGCTCAAAAAGACATCCTTGTTTGTTAGCAATTGTCACCTGTTACACAAATGCTTTGCTCACTTGATGTCTTTTTAATGTCTGTTTTCTTTTCTTTTTTTTTTACAGGATTTTGCCTAAAGTTGCAGCTATATAATTATTGAACATTTAAATCTTTTAAATAAAAAAAGGAATTTCAAAAAGGTTGTTTCTGAAGGATAGCTGGGCTATAAAAAAAACCCTTTCTAACATGCTATAAGCTTTCTGTAAGTGAGAACAATTATTTTCAGTGTGGGTTTTGAGTAGCTAAGCATCATTTGAGCTGTTTAGCACCACAGGCTCTCATTCATTCAGCATTCATTCTCCTTTTAATAAAGAATTTTTATTGTATGTTGTCCATGAGACCCTTTCTATATACCTTCATGGCTTATACTACTGATTTAATTATCGTTTATTTCATTTGAAAATGTTAGGTTGATTTTAATTCATGTCCCAAAATGCATCATGAATTTTAATTTACCAATTGATTGAATTGAGTTAAAATAATAACAACAACTGCAGAACAACACAATAGCACAATTATCACAATAAGGGAA